ACAACCTATGTATAGCTGACCAAGGCCATCCTCTCACTCACTAGCTAGTCTAGCAAAAGCTGAGCTCAACGACCGTTACGTTTATGAATTAGTGTAGACCAACGCAATACATACTGTATTTCAATTCATAAAACCTGCGATTGCATTTTCCTACATTCATTCCTTGGGAAGCAGTGGTAGTCACTGAAATCTTTCCATCCTGAATAAAGAAATCTTAAATAAATAAATGATTACATTCACAAGATAATTTTTTTGTCTTAATAAACAGTAGTCTTGAAAATTATTACTGGCAATTATTAGCAATCCATCTCAGAATATAAATCTGATTTCTCTGAAACAAACAATAACAAAGGTACCATCATCGTACAATAATAAAATTTTTAATATTATTTATAGTAGTCTTGGTTATGCAATACAAAATACTGCAGTATCACTAAAATGCACTTTCTGTAAGCTGAATGTTATGGATTCCTGCTTTTTTTTTGTTTTGTTTAAAGTAGCAAATGTCGTGAACTTGTCTGCTCTATGCATTCCCATGCATCAAATCTCCAAGATATGTCCTAGAAGAAACCAGAACCCTGTGGGTGCGTACGTTCCTTTGTACGTAAAAAATCAATGTACATTTGTGAATTGCAATAACTTGAGTGTATCTTTTTGAATAATGATTGTGTAAGGTAGTACAGTATTTTCATTTTGAGTTAAAAAAAAATCAGAGGCGGATCCAGAAATTTATGAAAGGGGAGGGGGAAAGGCGTTCTGAGAAGTGCAGGGATGTCGTTATGCAGGGCGGAGCCGCCCACTCTTGACGTCTTGCGCCCATCCTAAAGCTATTTTTAAGGCCTTCTGCCCATCAGCCTCATACAAATTCTTCTGCCCCCCCCCCACCTTAAAATCATGAAGAAACACAAGTTTTCGCTCCATAAACCGTATTTTCCGGTGAATAAGCCGCAAATTTAATATGCGATTTTCCCCTCGAAGTTTGGGGCGCGACCAGTCGTTAACCTACTCCTAAAAAGTTCAATCGCGAACCGCAGCGAAAATCAGGCGCCGTCTGTCTAGCTTGGGCCCATGCTCCAAGCCCAATTAATTAGCCTAGCCTTTGTTGAAGGGCTAGTATTTGTAATTACACTCACTAACTGTACTGTGATTCCTACTACATTTTCTACGACAATCAAGCAATGGTTTGGGTTGTTTCAATAATTATTTTCATAGTTACTTTCACTCAAACAATTTTGAAACACGTTTTATTCGAAATCGCTTCGTGAGCAGCTTCATTTATGATGTCGCAACAATACACACGTGGGCTGTTGAAACTTTCTGTTCGATGTCTGGTTCCTGGTGGCTTTACCGTTATAGAAAGAATACTGATACCGCTATATTTCAGAATAAAAGCAGCTTGTGAAATTAATTTATGCAATAAAAAAAGTTTTTTTGAAGTTGTAATAATTATTTTACTGGAAATTAAATGAAGAAAGGCATACGTTCGTCCGTCTATCACATGCCTCCATCACATGCTGTATATGTGTATAGACGGTCAGTCCATCACATGCTGTAAATTTATGTGTCCATAATTTTAAGGTTCTCCCCCCACCCGGGACTGTCCAACAGGATGCTGTATTTTCTAACCATTATTTTCCCAAACATCATTTGATGACGCTATGCTGTAGTGTCCATAATTTTAAGGTTCTACCCCACCCGGGACTGTCCATCAGATACATGCCTCCATCACATGCTGTATATGTGTATAGACGGTCAGTCCATCACATGCTGTAAATTTATGTGTCCATAATTTTAAGGTTCTCCCCCACCCGGGACTGTCCATCAGATACTGTATTTTCTAACCATTATTTTCCCAAACATCATTTGATGAAGCTATGCTGTAAATTTGTGTGTCCATAATTTTAAGGTTCTCCCCTACCCGGGACTGTCCATCAGATACTGTATTTTCTAACCCATTATTTTCCCAAACATCATTTGATGAAGCTATGCTGTAAATTTGTGTGTCCATAATTTTAAGGTTCTCCCCTACTGGGACTGCCCATCAGATGCTGTATTTTCTGACCATTATTTTCCCAAACATCATTTGATGAACTCTTGTCCCCCCGCCAACACTTAGGTTTGTCCGTCCATCACATGCTTCCCCCGCTAACCCTTAGGTGCGTCCGTCCATCACATGCTGCATATTTATGTGTCCAGAATTTGTAACCATCATTTCTTAGAAAATAATTCCACAAATGTTGATTTTTATTGCTTGACGGTAGGCTGGTGGTAGGCCAGAAACCTACTTCACGTAGGCCTAACGGTATAGTATATCAGATGTGTCTAGGCCTACACCAGGTCCGACGGTGTCGCCCAAAGAGAAGCCTACATTACATATGTGTATAGGCTAGGCCTAGCTGCACCAGGTCCGTCAATCTTTGCCGTTAAAGTATACTAAAACACTAATAGAACACACGGAACACCTTCAAATAATAGCACAAGTAAGTGGCCGATATGCCACAACTATCTCAGTTTGCTCAATGTTTACTGACAGTCGCGAAAACAACATAAAGAACTTTTCTAGGCAGCTCGCGACAGAAACAAAATGTCGGAAAAGTTTGACCCGACGCATGCGCAAATCAAATTTCAACTAAAAAACGACTCAAAAACTGGTGGTAGGGGGTATATGTTTTATCGCCTACAGCTTACATTTTCCATCTAACCGAAAAAAACAAACATTTCTTGCACAATTGCATGTCCACCAGTAACTATCGAGCACAATGTATACCTGCCGCTATGCACCATTTCGGAGCCTATTTGTTTACAAATATGCTGACCTCTTTTGGTGTCCCATCTCATACACACATTTTACATGTGAACCATTACATTAGTTCCATGTGACCTAAGGTCACAAAGGAACTAATAATAATAATAATGATAACAATAATAATAATAATAATAATAATAATGGTAATAGTCATATGAATTACTAAAAAGGATTAAGAATAAGGAAAATTATAGTCACTGATCATACCGAGGTCCTTGTTAAGTCCGAATATGTGGGTTTTGTGTTTGATTATGTGTCTGAGTTCAGATATGCGCCTTTTATTAATGGATGGGAAATTACAGGTAATGAGAGTACAGCGCATGTTATTTATAGAATGGCAGGGGGAGTTGAAGTGGTCGGCTACAGGGAAACCCTTACTATGATTGCGGATGGATTGTTTGTGGTTGTTGAATCCGAGTCTGAATTTGGTGCCAGTCTCACCAATGTAGGATCCTTTGTCGCAAATGTCGCAAGTGATCAGATATACCACGTTGGATGCATCTCAGGTTAATGGAGGGGGGGCGTATAGGGAGGTTAGAATGGGGGAGTTTGATGAGAGGATTAGTATTAAGGCAAGGCATCGGGATTTATTGCACTTAATATTGTCAGGTGACAGTGGTAGGGAGGTTATGCGTGACGAAGTCAAAAGAGTAGGCGAGTAGAGGAGGATTGTCAAATAAGTGTTCGATGGACTTGTCGACTTTAATTTGGGTGTAGTCATCACAGATGTTTTTGGATAAGGGGTGAGTGTTTGTATTGAAGTCCATGACCAGTGGGATGCGTTGGGAGTCAGATTTAGTGGTCGGAGAGAGAAGATCCTGTCGGGAACGGAGGGAAGCTCTAGTAAACTTTGATTTAACTAGGCTGAAGGGGTATCCATGGTTAAGGAGGTAACCAAGAAGTTTATTACAATGAAAAGTTTAGTCATCTGGCCCAGAACAAATCCTCTTTATGCATAAAAATTGACTGTAGGCAATAGATGATTTTAGGAGAAGAGGATGGGCACTGTCAAAATTAAGAAAAGAATGGCTGTCAGTAGGTTTAGTGTAAAGGGAGGTTGAGATGCGGTGGTTAGAAAGAGAAACTAAAACATCTAAAAAGGGGAGAGAAGATTGAGGCTGCTCCATAGTGAATTTAATGTGTGGGTGAAAGTTGTTAGCGACTCTTGAAGCGCTCAAGGTTTTGAACTCTGTGTTGCCAAATCATAAAAATATCATCGATGTATCTACAATAAAATAGGGGTGTAAGGGGGAACGAGGAAAGAAGATCGGTTTCAAGAACAGACATGAAAATGTTGGCGTAATTAGGTGCCATTTTAGTGCCCATGGCGGTGCCTTTAACTTGAAGATAATGAGTGTCGTTAAAAGTGAAGTTGTCGTGAGTGAGGATAACATTAGTAATAGAAATAATGTCATTGATGTGTTCATGGGTAAATCCGTGTTTGGGGAGAAAGGTTTTGAGAGACTGGAGGCCGTCAGAATGAGGGATGTTAGTGTACAATGACGACACGTCCATAGTAACTAAAATGGCATCAGCAGGGAGGGCAGGAATATCACTGAGTAAATTAAGGAAATGGGTCGTATCCCTTACATAGCGGGGGATGGAGGGCACAGTGGGTTGAATAAGGGAGTCAATAAAACCGGATAGGGATTCGGTGAGAGTGCCAATAGAGGATACAATGGGTCTACCTGGGGGTGTGATAATGTAGGTTTTGACTAAGTCAAACAATCTAGACTTATCGGAAGGGAGATCAACCGAGGGGGAGTGTTTGTCAAGTTTAGGAAGTTTATGTAATTTAGGAATAGTATAAAATATACCTGATCAAGGATTACTAGGAACTAAACCTAAAGCAATGTTCTTAGTGTGATCGGATAAGTTACTACACATATCAACAAGTATATCAACAAGAAAATATATATATGTATGTTTAATAAGTGAGCACTTTTGCTTTAAAATCACATATCCCTCTTATGGTATCTGGTACAAATTGGGTACATCATATATTTTCTAATTATAGTGCATTCCAAAGACAATTCATTTGCAAAGAATATCGAATAAATTTCAGTCTCTTAAATATACAATATACAAAACTTTAATAGAACACAAAAAAATGTAACATCACACTTACTTCCGCCTGAATATCCTTGTTGGCTCCTGATTGAATAAGAAGTTTACAAGCATCTGTATGACCATTTTGAGCACTTATGTACAATGCCGTTGCCCCATTCTACATGTTACAGAAATATAAAAATATGCAGTAATAAAGTGAGCAACTTTCCTCATATCACTCATATGGTATATGGTACAGATGGGATACATAATTTATTTCCTAATTATCATTCATTCCAAAGACAAATTGTCCATTTGCAAGAATATCGAATAAATTTCAGTCTCTTAAAAATATAATATACGGAATCTAGGAAGCCAAGTAGAAATTGGAGAAAGTTAACTTGTTCTCCAGTGTTTTAGTGTAGTAGACGTGTTCATCAGATTTTTTTATTTCATTTTGTCCTTTTGCTTTGCTACTTTTCTCATGACCAAAGAAGTACTTATTATTTCTTTCTCCTTGTTCAATCCATTTCACTATGGATCATATTGAGTTCCTTAAGATTCTAAATAATAAATAATTTTGGTGATCCGCTTCATGAAAATTTGGCAAAATCATGCATATTTCAATCAGTTATAGCTCCTTAGGATGAAAGATGACCCCCAATTTTTATTACTTATTCTTAAAGCACATGATTTGTAGATATGATTTAATAGATCATAATGGCTGATCGGACATTTTGATGTCATCACATTGCCATCTGAAATAAAAAAAACTTAATTTTTATCTATGACGTCATTTGTTAAAATACTCATTTGAGCGTATCTCACTTATCTTTAATCGATCGTCTCATAACTTTGAGTATGTTATAGCTAAGACAATTCTCTTTAAAAAGTGTGACTTTTTTTACATTTTGATGATGCCATCATGGTCAAAATAAATGTTTTTTATGACCCCCACCCCCTCATCTTTCTTTTTTCAAGACTTTGATGATCCCATATCATCCTAACCAATTAACATTTCTAATCACATTTAATGGGCATAAAACTTCAGGTCAAGAGGTACATGTCATGTACCTTAATTTTTCATGTGTGCATCATAATGTGCGCGTACGCGTGCATTAAAATTTTTAAAAGCTCAATATCATGCCTATTTTAAATCAGTTATATCTCCTTAGGATGAAAGGTGACCCATAATTTTTATTACATATATGAGTTGTAGATATGATTTTATAGCTCACTATGGCTGATCGGACATTGTGACATTATCATATTGCCTTCTGAATACAAAACAAGAGCGACCGCTCACATGGTCCCACTGATCTCTACTATAATAGCTGGATTGCTCATTGGCTGGTTTTAGTGAGGCCACCAACACCATGTTGAAAATTATTGCAAGAATCTTTATTTTTAACTATAATTTTAAACTAGATGTCAATAGAAACTTTTCTAAACTGGTACGTCACTTAGGCCCTCCAACATGGCGTCGGCTTTTTTCTTCACTTTTTTCTGTACTAGCATTTGCCAATGAGCAATCCAGCAATTATAGTTGAGATCAGTGCATGGTCCATGCGTTCCTTCACGCTAAAATACGGTATAGGCGCAAGTTACTATATTTGGTTGTTTGGAAGAGCTAATAAGATAGAAATTTTTAAATAAATAGAACGATTATTTGTACAAAAAATAATCATTATTTTGAATTAAAAATTAAGATACATAAAATTGATAAAAAATAACTTAAAATTGAAACAAAAAAATATTGAATATCTATACGCGATTTGAACCCACAGCCTTATGTTCTTTAGAACACATGCTTATCCGACCGCGCAATTCATGCGACATGCGTTTTTAGTGGTAATAGCAATAATGTGCAGTCCTTGCTGAAACCCCTGTTTTGTTTTGTAGGTGTAGGGGAATGTGTCATTTTTTTTTCACATTGATGACATCATCATGGTTATCCCCAACCTCTTCCTTTCTATAATTCTTTGACGACCCGGGAGAGGGCGCAGACTAGATATTGAACTGCACAGTTTGACAATCCTAGCTACGGCATTTTTCCATAAATCATAATTTTAAGTGCCGGGAGATATCTTTTGCCTGACAAGCTGATCACCTAACTCGTCCTCAGTGACGAGTTCAAATCTAGTTTTTTTAATTCATCAAGGTTCCCATATTAAAATATACTAGTAGATTCAGGTAGTTCTTAGTAGAAGTAGCTCTATTCTTAGTAGGCTTAATAGGCTGGTAGTAGATTTTCTTATCTCAACTACTAAGGATTTTAAGATTAATTTTATGGCTACATCCTGACTACATAAAATATATAGTTGATAGATAGGTACTGTCTATAATTAGCGACACAGGTAGTTTTATTATAGTTGTTGTAGCGCTATTTATTGTAGATCTGAGAGCTACACCATTGCTAGTAGTTGTTAATAGGCTTTATTAGTGCTAATTTTAATAGGTGCATAATAGACCATAAAACAGGTAGTTTTTGTGTAGGCTTCTTGTAGCCTCTATCTATCTATTCATAATATATATTAGGTAGATGAATAATATAAGTTTGTTAATAGGTTGTAGATAGTATCTGTCTAGAGATTATAAGCAGATTTAGATAGACATTATGCAACTATGCTACTAATAGTTTTATAACACACTTGTTGTAGCCTCTATTTATCTATTTATAATATACATTAAGTAGGTTAATAATACAAATTAATTGTTAGTTTTTTAATAGGTTGTAGATAGTATCTGTTTATAGATTATAAGCAGACTTAGATAGACATTATGCAACTATGCTACTAATAGTTTTATAACACTCTTGTTGTAGCCTCTATCAATATATTTATAATATATATTAAGTAGGTGAATAATACAAATTGTTAGTTTTTTAATAGGTTGCAGCTAGTATCTGTCTATAGATTATAATCTGACTTAGATAGACATTATGCAACTATGCTACTAATAGTTTTATAACACACATGTTGTAGCCTCTGTTAATATATTTATAATATATATTAAGTAGGTGAATAATACAAATTAATTGTTAGTTTGTTAATAGGTTGTAGATAGTATCTGTCTCTAGATTAAAAGCAGACTTAGATAGACATTATGCAACGATGCTACTAATAGTTTTATAACACACTTGTTGTAGCCTCTATCAATATATGTATTATATTAAGTAGGTGAATAATACAAGTTAATTGTTAGTTTTTTAATAGGTAGTAGATAGTATCTGTCTATAGATTATAAGCAGACTTAAATAGACATTATGCAACTATGCTACTAATAGTTTTATAATACACTTGTTGTAGCCTCTATTTATCTATTAATAATATACATTAAGTACGTTAATAATACAAATTAATTGTTAGTTTTTTAATAGGTTGTAGATAGTACCTGTCTATAGATTATAAGCAGACTTAGATAGACATTATGCAACTATGCTACTAATAATTTTATAACACAGTAGCCTCTATCAATATATTTATAATATATATTAAGTAGATGAATACTACAAATGAATTGTTAGATTTTTAATATGTTGTAGACAGGATCTGTCTAGAGATTATAAGCAGACTTAGATAGACATTAAGCAACCATGCTACTAATAGTTTTATAACTAACAATTAACTTGTATTATTCACCTACTTAATATTATCAATAGACAGACAGAGGCTACAACATGCATATTATAAAACTATTAGTAGGATAGTTACATAATGTCTATCTGCTGTTCGCTTATGATCTATAGACAGATACTATATACAACCTATTAAAAAACTAACAATTAACTTGTATTATTCACCACTGATGAGGCCTGCTAGGGAATCAGTGCAGCTAGGGTATAGACCCAAACGAAACGTTCGACTAGCTTAGGTAGGGCCAAACTAGTCCCACGACCACTAATGATTACGCGTTAAGAGTGACAAAATATTTTCTGTATCTGCTGGAACCGAGCCACATAGCATGCATTCCACTTTTTGCATTCACACCTGGGCTGTGTATATATATTGCCCTTGGTTTGGCTATGTAATCATTAGTGGTCGTGGGACTAGTTTGGGCCCTACCTAAGCTGGTCGAACGTTTCGTTTGGGTCTATACCCTAGCTGCACTGATTTATGGTATCTGGTACAGATTGGGTACATCATATATTTTCTAATTATAGTGCATTCCAAAGACAAGTTGTTCATTTGCAAAAAATATCGAATAAATTTCAGTCTCTTAAATATACAATATACAAAAATTTAAGAGAACACAAAAAAATGTAACATCACACTTACTTTCATTTGAATATCCTTGTTGCCTCCTGATTGAATAAGAAGTTTACAAGCATCTGTATGACCATTTTGAGCACTTATGTGCAATGCCGTTGCCCCATTCTACATGTTACAGAAATATAAAAATATTTAGTATTAAAGTGAGCAATTTTCCTCACATCACTCATATGGTATATCGTACAGATGGGATACATAATTTATTTCCTAATTATCATTCATTCCAAAGACAAATTGTCCATTTGCAAGAATATCGAATAAATTTCAGTCTCTTAAAAATATAATATACGGAATCTAGGAAGCCAAGTAGAAATTGGGAGAAAGTTAACTTGTTCTCCAGTGTTTTAGTGTAGTAGACATGTTCATCAGATTTTTTTTATTTTATTTTGTCTTTTTGCTTTGTACTTTTCTCATGACCAAAGAAGTACTTATTATTTCTTTCTCCTTGTTCAATCCATTTCACTATGGATCATATTGAGTTCCTTGAGATTCTAAATAATAAATATTTTTGGTGATCTGCTTCATGAAAATTTGGCAAAATCATGCATATTTTCAATCAGTTATAGCTCCTTAGGATGAAAGATGACCCCCAATTTTTATTACTTATTCTTAAAGCACATGATTTGTAGATATGATTTAATAGATCATAATGGCTGATCGGACATTTTGATGTCATCACATTGCCATCTGAAATAAAAAAACTTACTTTTTATCTATGACGTCATTTGTTAAAATACTCATTTGCGCGTATCTCACTTATCTTTAATCAATCGTCTCATAATTTTGAGTATGTTATAGATGAGACAATTCTCTTTAAAAAGTGTGACTTTTTTTACATTTTGATGTCGTCATCATGGTCAAAATAAATGGTTTTTCTGACCCCCACCCCCTCATCTTTCTTTTCTCAAGACTTTGATGATCCCATATCATCATAACCAATTAACATTTCTAATCACATTTAATGGGCATAAAACTTCAGGTCAAGAGGTACATGTCATGTACCTTAATTTTCCATGTGTGCATCATAATGTGCGCGTACGCATGCATTAAAATTTTTTAAAAGCTCAGTATCATGCCTATTTTAAATCAGTTATATTTCCTTAGGATGAAAGGTGACCCCCAATTTTTATTACATATATGAGATGTAGATATGATTTTCTGATCGGACATTGTGACGTTATCATATTGCCTTCTGAATACAAAACAAGAGCGACCGCTCACATGGTCCCACTGATCTCTACTATAATAGCTGGATTGCTCATTGCCTGGTTTTAGTAAGGCCACCAACACCATGTTGAAAACTATTGCAAGAATCTGTATTTATATTATATTTATTCAACAGTGTTAACGGCTAACTCCCTTCAATACCAAAATATAGTGGGTATAGTGCGCTAGCTGAGACAATTCTCTTTAAAAAGTGTGACTATTTTTACATTTTGATGTCGTCATCATGGTCAAAATAAATGGCTTTTCTGACCCCCACCCCCTCATCTTTCTTTTCTCAAGACTTTGATGATCCCATATCATCATAACCAATTAACATTTCTAATCACATTTAATGGGCATAAAACTTCAGGTCAAGAGGTACATGTCATGTACCTTAATTTTCCATGTGTGCATCATAATGTGCGCGTACGCATGCATTAAAATTTTTAAAAGCTCAGTATCATGCCTATTTTAAATCAGTTATATCTCCTTAGGATGAAAGGTGACCCCCCAATTTTTATTACATATATGAGATGTAGATATGATTTTCTGATCGGACATTGTGACGTTATCATATTGCCTTCTGAATACAAAACAAGAGCGACCGCTCACATGGTCCCACTGATCTCTACTATAATAGCTGGATTGCTCATTGGCTGGTTTTAGTAAGGCCACCAACACCATGTTGAAAACTATTGCAAGAATCTGTATTTATATTATATTTATTCAACAGTGTTAACGGCTAACTCCCTTCAATACCAAAATATAGTGGGTATAGTGCGCTAGGTCAGTAGCTGCACTGTTTGCATGTTGCTCTTAAGATTGTGTCTAAAATAGTAACTTATTGGAAATAAAGTGCTTAGTAAAGAACACACCTTTTCACCAAATCAATATGAGCTCCAGTTTGATGCTCCTCTTGGTATTTTTGGCCATCAATCTGCGTGAAAATTCTTATTTTTGTGAAGGCCTTATTACTTATTCCTCAGAGGATTTGATTCGACTACGATCAAGCGGCTGTTCTGCTATCGAAAAAGGTATTGTAGACTATTATTCCAGCATAGAAATATGGAATAAAACACGCAGGGGTTGTAGGGCAGGTAGGCGGTTTCATAATAAAACTGACTATCTGGAATTACCTGCCCATGTAAACAATACAAACGTAGACAAAGATCAAATCCACCTATCCATTTGTTTGATAAATGCTCGATCAGTCGGAAACAAAGCAAGCAGCATTGCAGATTTTATTGAGGAACACAAGTACGACGTGATCGTCTTAACTCAAACGTGGCTCCATAAAAATGATCAAGCAATTGAGACTGCGTTGACACCTAAAGGATATACTTTCATCCATAAGTCGAGGAAACAGGGTACTGTAGGCGAGGGGGTGGGGTAGGTGTGCTTTTCAAGTCTAACCTTGGCTTTGAATTTGTCGACTGGCAGCTTCGCTCTTATGAATGCTGTGAGGTACTGTCAAAATCACTCAATCTGCGGATTGTTTCTGTATACCGTTCTCCTTCAGCTGATGCTGATAATTTTTTAGAAGAATTCTCATCTTCATTGGATGATAACTTGCTATCGACACGTGCAACAGTCTATCTTGGAGACTTTAATGTTCATCTATTGGACTCAGACAATACACTCGCACGTCAACTAAAGACATCTTCTCAATGACTATAATCTTATTCAACATATGGACAGACCTACCCACAATAAGGGCAATTTATTGGATTTAATTATCACTAAGGATTCTACACCTATTTACAATATTAATGACCATGGTTTTATCTTTAGTGATCACTCAGTTATTGATTTCCAAATTTGTGTTAATAATTCTAAGAGAAAAAATGATAATAAGGCAACTACTAATTTTATCAAGAGCAGAAAGATTAAGTAAATTGATATTAATGAATTACAACGTTATCTTGATATTACTTTATCCTCAATTGAGGAAGATATTGGGCCACCAGATACTGTACATGATTATTATTATTATGTAATATATTGCAATTGGCTTTGGATGAGTTTGCACCAATTAGGGAAATTGGAATACGGGATAAAAAGAACAATAAACCTTGGTATAACTGTTCACTTAGATTAATAAAACGTACTGTTCGTAAATTTGAACGACGATGGTATTCAAGTAGATGTGTTAATGACAAACGTGAATATATTAAAAATTTAAAACTATTTAACAGAAAACTAAGGCAGGCTAAGGCCATCTACCTTACTAAATACTAACAGAATCGAAGAATGCTCAAATGACAAAAAGAAACTGTTTAATGTTGTAAAAAATCTTTTAAAAGGTACACCTGTTTCTTTCCCTCCTCATAATGATATGTCTCAGCTGACTGAACTTTTTTTGTGAAAAGATTACAAAGATTCGTAACCAACTCACTACAACACCTTGTGCTCTGACCACCTTGGTAACCACAGATCCGCCCTTGAAGAACACTCATTCTTTCTCCTCCTTTGATACTGTTGATTGCACTTTTGTTGAGAAATGCATCTATTCATTATCCTCTGCATCTTGTTCATTAGATTTTATACCCACCCATCTCCTTAAATTGTGCTGTTCTTCCATTATCAAGCCCCTTACTCTCTTAGTTAATAAATCCCTCATGTCTGGAACTGTTCCATCGATATTTAAAACTGCTATTGTGAAACCCATTTTGAAGAAGCTTTCTCTCAACTTCGGCTTGCTCCAAAATTTTAGACCTATTTCAAACCTTCCTTTTCTTGCTAAGCTTATCGAAAAAGTCGTATTTAACCAACTATAAAAAAAAGCAAAGGACATACCTCGTGCTCAAACACTGACGTACAAACCACGTCAACGATCGACCAAATTGCCACTGGTCACTACCTATCACCCTAGGTTACCACCATTAAGGGCTATAATTCAGAAGCATATGCCCATTCTAC